GTTTGGGCAACATGCCCAAAGACTTCGCCCTCACGGGGGGGTGGATGGGCTGGTTTGGCGGCGCCTGGAGCAAGCCCTTGGGAAGGTGTTCACGAAAGCGACACAGAGCGCGCCACTCAGGCGGCCCTGCTCAAGCGACAGCGAGCAAGCAGGACTGCCTCGTCAAAGCCTTGAGAACTGGAGGCCAACCGGGAGGAAGAGCTGGGAACCTCTTGCCACTGGAGCTGTCATAGTTCTGAACAGGATCCTTGTATGGTATCAGATGTTCATGGAGTCCGGGGCCCTCCTTGAAGCTCCAGCTCGCCAGCTGCTTGATTGCAGCGAGGCTCCTCGACCTCCTTCCTGAGGATATTGACAGCGTCGTAGCCGTTCTTGTCTTTCTCCAGCCCTTTCACCAACGAGCACAAAGCTCGACATACCCTCTGGCTCCTCTCGAAAGAGTCATTCGGCATGATGCGGTGGTCGCACGGCATCTCCACATCGATCAAGGCGACCTCCTCCTCACACCTCCCACGTGTAGCATTGAGCCACGTGCAACACTGCGACAAGGGCAAAAACAAGGACAGCTAAGCATTTAAAGGAACGTCAACCAGAGGAGCGGGCACAGCCAGTGGAACGACAAAGGCAAAGGAAAGCAGAGGCGAAGGAGGCAAGCATGGGAAGGAATGGAACAGCCAAGCCAACGCGGAGGACAGGGCAAAGGCAAGAAGGCTCCGTCCAGACGTTCTGAGGTGTGTTGGTGGCATGGTATGTCTCGTCACTGCCCGCAGATGCAGGAACAGCAGCGGCAAGAAGAAAGCTCACGAGCAGGAAACTGCTACAGGCCTTTGAACGGCCCTGAATAGGGCGTGTGGCCTTGCATGAGCAGGCTTCCGACGAAATCCCTGCTGCATAGTGGAAACCATCGGAAGCGTTGACGTGTAAAACCTGAGGTGGCCTGCCCCAAACCATTAACAGCAGCAAGGTTCTGACTTTGATTTGTGCATCAAATGGAATGCACGCAGCAAGCCGACGGATGTTGACCGGTTCCGAAAAAGCTCCCTAGAATAAAGACTTCGTAGGCTGACGATGCGCTAAGGCTAAGGATTCGGCGGCCTTGCGCAGCGCCCAGGCCGTGCCAGTCGCATCTGCCACACAGATGCGTTCCCGTCACAGAGCTCAGAGGCTGACTTGGAAACTTTACTCCCAGAGTGTCCCACATGTCGGATTCAAGGATTGAGCTAGTGACCTGCAGACTCGACAGTGCAAGTACTGATGTTTGCCAAGTCATGATCGGAAGCGTGTAACTCTGCAAGACTTCACAGTGCCCTGCCCCACACCGTTCAAACCGACATGTCGCATCGTTCTCAGGGTTCTGTTCGTGAATCGTGCGGCTTCGCATGTGCCGCAGCCGAGCCTTTGTCAACTGGCCGTCGAGTGACCTTCCCAAGCACAGCGACCTTAAAGGCGACAGCTCAGGTCACAAGGGGCCTCCTCTGAGGAGAGCCTGCTCTGAGAGTCAGACCAAGTGGTCGTCGTCCAGCTCGCGCAACGCATCTGCTGCCTCCCTGCAATGAAGACCCTCCCTCCCTCCCTCCCCTCGCAGCTTGCACCGACAATGGCAACGGCGAGCGGCTGTGCGCAACACCTCCGAGGCTGGCACACCTCTTCTCTTGAGGACGCGCCCTGCAAGCAAACACTCTGAAAGCATACCTACAGAGTAAATGAGAACAAACCGGACAGTTGTATAACGTCCCTCACGCAAGCACTGCCGGCGTCGCACGAGGTGCAAAAACGCACGCACTCGCCTTCCAGGACTTGACCGCCAGCCACCCAGCGGCTACCTTGGACGTTCAGCTTGCGGTTTACCCAGCCTATCGGATGCAAGTTACGGGTTGTAGGAGCACCCGAAAAGAAGAGCGGTGTGAGTCATGCTTGCAGCGAAGACTGTATCCGGCAGCAGGCACTTGCCAGCAGCTGACGAAGAATGCAAGAGGCATGCACGTGCTTGCAGGCTCGAGCATTCTTAACATGGCATCTGCATCTACATGCATCTACTGTACCCGCCCAAAGACAGTAAGAGTCGTGCTTCCTCGCAAGTGTCCTGCTTCAACCTCTTCCTCGTCAGCAGGTGGCAGCGAGAAGCTGTCGTATCAACTCATATGGTGTTCCTTGCAAGGAAACCGGTGCCTCTGCAATGCCTGAAGCAGGTCTGGCCGAGCAGCAAAGCGTGCTAACCTGCAGGGATCATGGAGTCCGTCCGAAACTCCTCGACCCCAGCATTAGACGCGCATACTTTGCAATGAGCTGCTTCGCAGGCACAGGCACCGCACCTCCGTGCATCTCCACGCAATCGTCTTTGGAATGCATGGAGGCACAGCAGTGAACCTCGACATAAAACAGATGCATGCCTCCGATAGCACCAATACACCATGGTCTTCACGTATGCGCTACTTCGTTCATGTAGATGTGTGCATAGCCGAAGCTACAAACTGTCAACATTTTACGCACGTAAACATATGTATGTATGCATGCATGGATGGATGGATGTAGGTCTACCTATTGACGAATATATGTACGTGTGTGAGTGTGCATGTTTGTTGCACATGGGCTACAAAGCAGAGAACGTTTCCCAACCCTCGCTGCACAAACGAACCATGACGAAGCCACCACGTAACCCAACGCCCAGATCTGTATGCTTGTGATCGTAATACTGGTGATACTGGTGACCACAATCATCAGAATATCCAAATACTCCATCTGCAAGGCTCTCATACATGGATCACATGTGCTAACAGCCGTCATATGATACCCAAAAAACACGTAAGAATCCACACGACATGCAAGTCCGATCGACCAAATTATCCAACAAAACCCTCGACAATCTCTGGCTAACCACCACATAAATCCAAGCAAAGTTCATAAACTCCGAGGCAATCTTCGCAACATGCTGTGTTGTAAATGCCACACAGAGCCACAGGGCTTAGCATTTTCTGTGTCGAATTGTTCGTACTATGAAGCCGCGACTCAATCGAAGTGCTGTGAATAAGTACCGAGAGGAACAGGTGTTTAACAGATTTGTTTCGCAAGCATGGGTGCGATTCGCCGAACGGAAAACCTCAAAAAATTCTCTTGCTGGCCCGCACCATGTACGGAAGTGCTAGCGAGAAACGTTGCCGATATTTTCGTGGACAGCACCCTTGCCTGCTGTCGCTTCATGCCGAAGAAGTACGCCCCACTGTGATACTCCCCAGAACAGAAGACGCAGGTCCTTCACAGCATGGTCGCAGCAAAGTATGCAGTTTGTTTAGAGACGAGAAAACAGTCCCATGTGAAACTCCGCAATTCCTTGTCAACTGGATAAAACCTGTTGGGCCCATATAGCTATTGAAAGTATTCACATGACCGCACTCTCAACCGCTTCAGCTTACTCAGCGATTAGAATCATGGTGTTCCAAGTTCTTGAATTGCCAGCACTTCTGCATTCGTATATTCTTTAGACCCTGAAACCGTTTGATGTCTTTAGCTTGCCGAGATGTTCTAAAGTCATTGCACAAGACTTTGAGCAGTTTCAGTCATGCGAAAACTCTCTAGTCCATTGAAGGAAGCGAAAGCTCCTCAACGATTTCTGGCAGAAACGGAAGAGCTGAAGAGTTTGATGGAATTTGCAGACTCGAAATCAGCAGATCCAACGGGTCTGAGGAACTTGAAGCTGCCAGATAACTAAAAGATGTCAGACAGACAAAAGCGGTGAACTAGAAGGATGTGCCAAATTCTTGTCTCATTACTACAAAGAAGACAGCCCCTCAAATGATGCAGCACGGTGGTCGCACACGTATATAGACTATATAGAGGTATATGTATGTGCCCGAATGTGCGCAAGTACGTAGGTAATGTGTGCATGCGTGCGTACATCTTAATCTATCTATGCATGTATGCATGCATGTATGTATGTGTGTATGTGTGTATGTGTATGTGTGTATGTATGTATGTATGTATGTATGTATGTATGTATGTATGTATGTATGTGTGTATGTGAGCATGTGTAAACAACCTATGATATATGATGTAACTATGATATATGTGTATGCATACGTCTATCTATGTGTATGCATGTGTGCATATATGTGCATACATGTGGCTATGTGCTATCATAGAAGATAGATCGAACGATCAATAGATATAGATATTGTGTGCACGAACTTGTGCTGCTTGCGTATGGACAATATCTAGCTTGCTCCTTTCATCGGACCTTACTGTACCTGCACCTGCATCTCAACATGCCAGATGCGCCTGCGAAGCGGAAGTGGCGAGGTCGGCGCCGATGTGAATCAGATTCCTTGATGCACAAAGCCATGTCAGCTCGGTCTGAGGACCATTTAGCATCAAAGCAAACATTCGAAAGCAAACGTGGCGAGGCCCTAGCCAGGCACCTTCGGAATGAGTTGCCTTCGTGCACACAGGCAGGCCTCCGAATGAGATGACGCAGCAGCGGTCCAATATCGAGACTGCGCACATGTCGGACTCGCAGCCTTTGCAAGGAATGTTGCAAAGGCGCGAACATGGCAACTACTCGGCCTCATCTAGCCCAGAAACACAACGAATAAACGCAACACTGGCCGACCTGACTGTGTGCTTTTGTGTGTGTGTCTTCTCTGCGCCCTCCGAACCACTGCACACTGCCAACTCTGTCCTGATAGGGCTTGTCCTGCGGGTGTCCATGGCCGTAATGTGCACAGCAGACTGGCAACGTAGTTCTACCACATCGCGGCAATGCGACGGCTAGGCGGCGGATGTATAATCAAGCAGAACCAGAAACATGAGGAAGTCTGTCACAAAGCCTAGTGCGCACCGGGCACAGAGAGGCAAGTCGCAATCGGTTTGGTAAGATCTACGTATCCTTGTTCACCGTGGACTGCATACTGCAGGAACCCAAGAGCCCGAAGCCGCCTTCACCCCTCAAGCCGTTCTTGCAGCAGTGATGTGGCCCAGCTGGTCCGAAGAGTATCGTCTTTTTCGAGTCAAAAGGCTGGCAGGTCGTACGTCGCGGCACCGCAGCGGTGGCACCTCCAGTCAAGCAACAAATGAGCTGTTCGAGGATGGAGTGAAGGTACTTGTAACTTGTGACGCCAAAGCCTTGCTTCATGTTCAAGATGGTGAAACACGCGCTGGATTTAAGAAGCCCTGACATTGCACCTTCCGCCAACTTTTCAAGAGGGCACCGGTGCGTGCAGAGTGCCTTCCCTGCGCGAATCCCTCGACCACCGCGGCACAGGCTTTGCAGCGCCGCTGCCAAGCGACCTTCGAACAGCGCGGTGGCAAAGGGGTGCACTGTGCCGTGGCTCTGAAAGCATCGGCCGTGTGTCCCGAACGCTGCTGCCTTTGTCGCGTTCAGCGTCAACAACAGGTTGCCGAAAGTCCTGGGGATAATTGCGAGTTTTGCAACTCCGATGAGATATTGTCGCCATTTCCGGTCACAACAAAAGTCTTGAATCTTGGGACAGGCTTCCTAAGCTTGCCCTCTTTGTGCTGCGAAAGGATAGCAGCATGGGCATCTGACCTCGACCATCACAGAAGATTGCTGAGCAAAGTGTTTAATAGACAAATCTGCATGACAGAGCCCACAGCTTGCGATACCAGGACACGGCGGCTTCTTCTGTCGACCAGACCTTGACAAAGCGTAACTCTCTGGAATCACGGAAGTTTGGAAATGCACTAACAAGTGATGCTTGACTCATGCACGTGGTGTCTTGAGGGCAAGACTGAAAGGTTCACTTCACGGACGGATTGCCAACCCGGATGCACGATCCCTCGCCTGCACCGCAGCGGATAACATGTGTTGATCGGTTTGGGTCCGTTCGAGGTGCTTCAAACTCCAGTAACTCCACCTATCTGGTTAAGGGGGCGTGATCCAGGTTGTCGTGAGAAACACGGTCCATCATGGTCCTACAACCTGCAGACTCGCGAGACCACGAAGAGCCCGCTGAGCACTCTGCTCTCGATATTGGCTGTGAGCTGCTACCGGCTTACCGTTGGCTCCAACTAACTCAGATTCTCTGTCACCGCCCGGGATCTAGCTGCTCTTGCCTGCCAGGTTTCGGCAGGACGCACAGCAGGTTGGCCACCTCTGAAAGATGCTGATTCTGCAGGGACGGAAAGGGGGCTCCTCATTCAAACCAAGCGGCAAATCCATCTGCAGGTGGATGTGCTGCCACCTTCGCTAAGCTCATCAATGTAAGCTCGCTCCAAGCTGCCCTCCGGGCAACTCCCAGCCTGCACCTCTTTGGTACGCAAGGCGGCCTTCACACCTGGAGATGAAGGCAAATGGAGGAAGACGCGAGACATCGCTGAGATGGGACCCCCGGCCCGAAAGCTCTTCCATGATCTTCAAGGACGAACGCACTGTCGCCTCCGCTGGTCGCAGAGCTGCACAGACCAACCAGCTGACCTCCCTCTCCCCTGAGGAGCTCGACCCTCAAGTCCTCGTCGTCGGCAGTGGGCAGGTGACCGACATTACAGACCTTGGCAGAAGCCGAACTGTGAAGCAGCAAAAGCCAACACTACAGCGTCTTTGACTACGGACATCAACATGCTCCAATGATATGAAACTGAACGGGTGAGACTGCACATTGCCAATCACATCGGAAAATGCTCCTATGCCATGGCGGCCAAAAAATCCACTCCGCACCAAGAAGAGTGGCGCCACGCCGCAGAGTGTGCTATAGTTTGAGGCTTCTGCGACGTGGCCGGGAGACGGAGACTCAGCAAGGCCTCGAGAACGGGCAGGATTGCATAGAGGCACAGAGCTAAACAAAACTCAAAACCCGGCTTGCCATGGCTCAATCGCTCAACCACCAAGGTGCCAGCTGGAACCCTCCAACATCAGACACACCTCAGCTCGAGTTGGCAGAAGAGCCTGTATCAAACGAAACCGGGGGGGTCTGAGCAGGGAACGCCAGCCTGCAGGAGACCACCCAAATCGTCGATGGGAGCCTTCAGGACCGTGGACGAAAGTCAGGAGCCAACGACCGCCGCAAAAGACCTCGAAGGCGAAGACACGGAGACGCCCTGGCAGCATCCATGTTACCAGCCTGCAGACAGAAGACTTGCGTGGTCGCTGCTTGGGTGCTTGGGTGCAGGGGTGCACCCAATATCGCTCAACATGCCATGCAAATAGCAAACTGCCGCAATGCACTAGACTTAGACAGGACTACGGCCAGCGACGATGTTCTTGGCACGGTAGTTTGCTCTAGAAAACTTCGGAACGCGACCCGGAGATCGAAGCATCGAAGCACGTCTCATTACACCACCATGGTTGGATTCGACTTAGAGCTTTCCGTTTTATGATGCCTCTCCAGTGGGCGGCCGAGAAAGCTCCACACCTCGGGAGCATCGCTGTCTCTTTTTGCATCTGCCGGCCTGAAATTCAGCCGCCGACTGCCATGGCTACTAGAGACCTGAAGTTGTCGATCAGGAACAGCAACCTAATCAGGCCATGTGCCACTTGAGGATCTTCCTTGCAACTCTGAGTCTTACTACCTGGCAGGTGCTGGCTAGGCTGCTCGCACGACACTTCAACACTCTCATGCGTGCTTCAAGCTTCCCACGAAACCCTGGGCCTCACGGAAGCCTCCTTCGGGGCCGCACCCCCTGACGGGAGGTGCACAGCGCAGAGCCGGAGCTCCCAGAACTTCGCCGGGCTGCCGGGCCTTCGCCTTCTCCGGGCCGGCTCCTCTCGGCAATCCTCCTCGAGTCAGAGAAGGGGGGAACTGGGCGTTATTTGGGCTTCTCTTCCTGGGCGGCAAAACGACGCCTCGAGAGATTTGCCGCCGAGCGCTGAAGGTGCAGGAACCAGGCCAACCTGTCGCCAAGCCGGCGCTCAAAACGCGCACCCGTCCACTGCACTCTTCTCAGATGGATATAACTGCTCTGACAACCTGCACCCACCGAGGCTTTGGCAAGGCCAGGCCCAGCCGCCGGTCTGTCAGTTAGTCAGTTCAGCGTTTGTATCTCGCACAAAAAAGTCTTGGATTCCAGAGGTCGCCTCCGATGCCAAGACATCACTCGTGTTTCCGCCAGCCTTGCCCAAGCCCCAGCAGTGCAGCAGCGGATCCTGCAGGCAAGCACCTAATCCGACTCGAGCAGAGCCCACAACGTGCACAACGTGATATGAGCGGTCCGACGGTTGCAGAGAGCCAACCACTGACGAAGCCAGCACCAAACTCCTAGGAGTCTGATACATGAACTCATTGAAATCGTTCCATTCGGGCTGCCTAGTACCTGAGAAACAGCTTACGGTATAGCAGTATGACACTCCTCGGAAGCATCTGCTGCGGCAACCTCGCCAGTCAAAGGCTGAGAAACCAGTTGGGAAAGTGGAGAGGTCGACTGCCAATCAATCAGTTTCGCAGCTTCAAAGCACTCACCAAGCTTCCTGAGTCATGTTCCCGAGCATGGTGAAACATTGCACTACGCAGCCACGCTTCAGAAGACGCCGAAACTGCATGACCTGGTGACTTGGTGGCTAGCTGCTTGGCCTTCCTTTTGCGCGGCCAGCTCCGGCTTTCAGCAACACCCGCACCACCTGGAAGTTGCCTTCGCATGCCAGTGTCCAGGGTGTGCGGCCGTAGGCACCAGCAACCTGAGTGTCTGCCCGCGCTTCAAGCAAGGCCTCCACAACAGCAGGATGACCCTGTTCAGCAGCCAGTTGAAGTGGGGTCCTTCCGTAGTTGCGCTGGCTGGTAACATCCGCCCGCTGCTCTATGAGGTGCGTAACTACCTGCTCTGAGCTCGCGCATGTACTTGATTGAGATATAGCGAGATTACATTCCCTAGATGCCACTCAAGTTGGCCAAGGCATGAGGACTACAACAAAAATTGCAAACACGGAAGCATCTCCCACCTCAATGTGGCCCTGTTCACATGCCAGCTGCAGGGCCGTTCGACTATATCGGCTCGCGGCATTAATGTCTGCACCGGCACGTATGAGAAGGCGCACTGCTTCCAAATAGCCTTTCTCGCAGGTAATCTGCAGCGGAGTCCCCCCGTGGATCCCCTTCTTGCGAATGTCCGCACCAGCTCGGATCAGAAGCTTGATGACATCGATATGGCCAAATTCGCAAGCGAGCTGCAACGGTGTTCTGCCACTGTTAGCAGTGTGATTAACATCTGCAGCTGCGAACAATAAGTTGTAGACGCACTGATAATGTCCACCTGCACATGCAAGCTGAAGTGGAGTTTTACCACACCTGTTCGCTGCGTTTATGTCCGCACCAGCCTCGACCAAAACCGCCAACACTGTTGGCTGGCCGTTTTGGCATGCCAGCTGCAGCGGGGTTTTATCGCATCTGCCACCATTGATTGCAGCACGTGCTTGAATTAAAAGTCTGGCCAAGTCAGCATTCCCAGCTTCTGCGGCGAGATGCAGAGGCTTCGTACCAGCATGGTGCCTCCCTCTCACCACATCTGCATCCGGCCGCTGCCCCTTTGCCAACAGCTCCTCCGCTCGGCTGATGTCGCCAGCCGTGCTGGCCTGAAACTAGCCGAAAACCCACAAGTTCATTGAGGCGGATCGGGTCGCTTAGTCTCCGATCGACAACCCCTCCGCGCCCCTTACCGTTCCTGGAAGGAAGTACGACGCGACAGAGATCCCCAGCGGCCTAAGCGAGTCGAACGTTTTCCCCCCACCTCAATCAAGTCCTGGTCAAAGTCGGTGACAAAGTCGGTGAATGGACATGACTGCACAGCGACAAGGTGCTTGGAGCTGTCAAGCCTCTGCCACTCGTCGTTGCATGTTATGGCCACACCGTCAGACAGCAGGGTAAGCAGGTAGCCAGGATGCCCCAGCTCCTTCGACAAGGCCTGCTTGAAATCGCGCAGATCGGGACAGCCCCTGACTTCGTAAACTGAACCTGACAGAAGGTGAACCTTGCGCAGGGGCTCGTCACCTATCCAGGTGACGGCGCTGCCAAGCGCAGGGCCTGCTGGATGCATCTCGCCCGACCCCCTTAGCCTCAGGCCTTAAACTCGGCACCGAGCCAGAGCTTCGGCGAGGGGCAAAAATCTTTCCGACGCGACACGCGCTGCACGCGTTGCCCAAGCGCTTGCTGCATCGACTCGGGAGCAGCGATGCCCTGCGCCTGCACAAGCCCAAGCAGAAGCATCGAGGCTCCACTGCGAAGAGCACCGGCCAGGGCCTCAGCTCAGAGACACATAGGACAGTTTCACTCGTGGCAGAAGCTGTGGTGGCTGAGCTCTTCTCCACGGTCTAGATCTAGACGGCCTAACGCCTGCTTTGGGGACTGGGTCCACGGCATGGAGGTGGCTGGCTGCTGCTCCCACCTGCACTCCGAGCAGACACTGAGTGGCACATGACTGCATGATCCGTGTGCCTGCAGCTGCTTCAGCAAGATCCAAAGGCAAGTCCTTAGCTTGATTCTTGCAGATGTGGACTCGACCCGTGCAAATCCGTGCAACAGCAAACGCAGCTCGCGCTGTCCGCCACAACTATCTGGGGGAGCTTCGCTGTTGCACCTGCGATCCTGAGCCCCGCCATCACCGTGGCCTGCAGCTGCAATTCAGCATCTCCATGCAAGGACAATTTTCAGAGATGCCCGTCGACCAAAAAGCTTCGAAGGGGATCCCGCTGGAACCGGAAGCCTCTTAAGCTCTTCTTTCTCCTCCTGAGTCTTGGGGCGGGCACGCAGGCTCCTGCCACTCCCCTGCCAAGACCTGCCGACCAAAAAAAAGGAAGAGACCGGCCCAACAGCCGAGAGCAGGGAGCCGCGGAGAGAGCGCGGCACGGCGCGCGAGAGGCCGAGGCGCTCCGGTGCCTGGGCCCTGGGCCCGGTGCAGGCCCTGGAGAGCCAGAGCCGAGCAAAGCACCTCCGACCAAGGACAGAAACATGATAAGAACAATAATAAGATTAATAAAATAGTAATAAGAAGAAGAAGAAGAAGAGGGGAGAGAGACGCCAAAAAGCACGCACTCCACATCCATCTAACAGTCGGCGTAATCGGGTGGGGAAAGCTCTCAGCCCCGAGCTGCCAAGGAGGGTCTCAGAATGCCTGTCGAAGCCACTGACTCCCCAAGTTCATCGCAGAGCTCTGCCCACGCCTTCCATTCGTTCCTGCATGCAGTCTCCTGCTCCTGCCGTGCAAAGACAGCCCAACAGACGCAATGGAGACAAATGACCACCTCTCGGCTGCACAGAAGTCGTAGGCAGGCAAGCCTGTCACTGCCAGTTTCGGGACGCTGAGTTAATGAGATCCGCATGAGATCTCATCGAACCTGGAAAAGAAGGGCCCAGGCAGCAGTGCCCAAAGCACTGGGCGAGGCAGGACCCTGCATGGCTCTGCTTTGGGGCTTCGGCTCATGCCTACCTCTTTTCGGCGACGAGGACATCGCAAAAGTGCAACAGGTTTGCAGCAGCGCAGGAACGGTATCAACCCCTCTCAAACTGCGTGATGGTTGCCAGTGCCAGGCTTCATAGCTATAATGTGCCGAATCGCCATCAGTGGTACCGCATAGTACGAGCAGTGCCCGAATGGTCTAAGCGGTGCAAATTCACAGCACGAGCACCCACTCGCTGGAGATCAACTGCTTGCACAGTCAATTGTGCAGTGTCTCGGCCTATGACGCTGCCTCTGCGACAGTGCGACACACTCTTGTTCATCTCATTTCCTCTTTCACTTCCATTCGATCGGACAGTTCAGGGCAAGGGATCAACCTCAATGTGCGAGTTTGCCAGGGACTGGTGGAATCATCCGAACGTGCACCCCACAGCCCTCCAAACCGCGTCCACCCCACTGATGAGAGCTAGCCTTCGTGACTACTCTGAATCTTTTGCTGTTTTGTCGAAGCAAAAATTTCCAATCAAGGAAATGGAACACGGCAGGACAATGAGCAACAGGATGTTGTTCTGTATTGTTTTTGCAGCCGTAACTCGAAAATCGCCTTGCGCTTCGCCCTTGCACGCTACAGTTTCTTGGAACACGCATCACCTTGTGCAATGGAGACTGGCCTCCGTTCTGCCAGCATGCATCAAAAAGCCCAGAGCAGCACCAAGAGCCAGCACCTTGACGCAGAGACAGATGCTGGTTAACTGGCGAAAGACGCACGCTGTGCACCTTTCTAACAGTACAAGGCATACAAGGAAACCGGTGACCCAGCCGGAAACGATGTCATGTGCACAGTCATCGTCAGCGCAACTTGGCAGAGGCCTCACAAGCCGATCCAATCGAATCTGTGCGATGTGCGATGTACCAACGTGAATGCTGTGCCTGGGATCAGCAGCGGACGATGCCGAACCTCGTGAGAAAGCCCGAAACTCAACCACCTCTCGAAAGTAGCTTGAAAGCTGGAAGACGACACACTCGTGTGAAGGCAAGGAAGCGCTGTAGCTTTCACCTTTATCTCACTCTGCAAGGGGGCAGTCTAAGGGTCTGCAAAGGCTGCATCTCGCTGGAATCCATAAGGATCATGACCTTGAGATTCTGTACAATCGAACCCCATGCTGAAAGATGATGCTACAGGACCAGAGCAGTCGACCAGAGCAGTCGCGCCAGAAGCAAACGAGTTGAGCAGAAACCTGAACTATCTAGTTGCTCATAGCTGATCCCAAGCTCCAAGATGGCATGCAGGCTGTGCGTTTCCATTCAAGGCACAAATCCTCCTACGCTGGAACCACCGACGTTACGGCCCGCTTCCCTACACTCGAGGTGGATCCAGCGTAGGATTGTGCCTCATGTCATTTGCACATCACCTGATATCCTGAAAGCCGGAAACGAAGCATGAACTACATAAGCAAAGCAGAGCGTTTTGCACACTCAGCCTTCAATCTGCACCAGCAAGCTTTCTGGCAACGGCAAGTGCCGCGATCCGATCCTACATTTGGGCTGCCAACTTCTTGGCGGCCACACCGGCCAAGACGCCCCCGAGAAGGACGAGCAACCACCGCCGACGCAGAGATCGCTTGACCTGAACCTGCATCAACCAAAGTCGCAGGACCGCATGAGGCTTGTTGCACTTGTGAGAGGCGTTTAGCAACGCATACTGAGGCCGCATCGACCGAGTTGGTCACGTGCTTGGCCATTGTGGTTGCCATCAAGTTTGCCGAGTGACCCGTGCCGTCCACCATCCTGCAGGTGTCCGAGCTGGAACTGCCAAGACATCAGGGCAACGACTGACAGAAATTAGACACGGACCTTGTCATGGTGGCGAATGCGGCAGCGACGCCCACTGTGTCAAGGTAAACGTGATCGCCCGCCTTCTTCCTCACAGATCTTGGCGAACCGAATGATCTATCGACACTTCTGCCAGTCGTGTGCTCCGAAATTTCCACCCGTTGCAAGAATAGCAACAGTGGAAGCGGTCTGCGCAAAGCACAATGCACCCACGCAAAGCCCGCTGCCCTTGCAGACAGAAGGCTGTAAAGTCGCGGCGCAGCTCTGCAACTGTTCGTCCGATGCCTTGGCAAGGGCCTCCGCAGTCTTACTGTCCGTTGTATCCAGCCCTGTCGCAACCACGAGCCCAACCACAGGAACCTCAATACCTGGCAGTTGACCTGAGACACTTGAAGAGCAATACAGGCAATACCTACGATACATGATATCTGGCATAGGAGCAAAAGAGACGGGTGTGGTGCCTTGGCAAACTCCTCCATTTCAGCCTCACCAAGGCCACATCAACTTTGAAAAGAGTCCCAAGCTCTTCGTGCTGCTCACCTGCTATAGAAGTCAAGACCCTAGCTACAGCTTTCAAGCTTCTCTTGCTTTTTGCCGTTGTCAGTGCAATGTCGGCTTTTGATTGCTGAAGGATCCGAAGGATCCTGAAGGCTTGAATCGAAACTTTGCTTAAGCTCGCAGTCTGCTACCGTACTGGCACGGCGTCCTTGGCCACAGGTCCTCTTGGTGTCCGTCGCACAAGTGCCAAAGCTCCCTTGCCCAGGTGCCTTCGCAGGATGCTCTTCAGCGCTCATCCCAGAGGTCAGATTTGCGAAGGCCGCGTGCCCGTTGTGTCAGAAATGGCAGGTCACGGCTCCAGCGTAGGCGGCGGCCACCACTTCCAAGTCCGATCGCGACAGACCTCAGCTCTCAAACAGTCCCAGGTGGTCCCAGACCGGAGCGGCTGTCCTGAACTAGGGCAAGTGCATCGTGAAGGTGGGGGCTTTGCGGAAAAGTTGACTACATCCCGAAGAGGGATGTACAATGCTTCCATCCATTGCTGCTGGATCCAACAGGAGTACGGCGTGAGCGACATTTTGCTGAACCTTGGCACAAGCATTCATCGACCATCCCAACTTCTTGCCACAGGCATTCCAACAGGTGTCAGATGTGCTTGTGCGCTGAAGACTTGATCTTTGGCCGGCATACAACAGACAGGTCCTACAAGACACGCAATAACAAGACTCCCGAGAATGCACTCGTCAACGTACCCCGGGCGACATGATGGAAACAAGGAAGCCTCTACAGTTTCCAGATCTCCTGACGCGCGCACAGCATGTCGAGTAGCGGATCCATGCTGTCGATGGTTGGCTTGAAATCCGCCAACGACTTCCAGCCCGTTTTCTTCACGGCCGCCTCTGAGATCTTCGACCCTCCCTTCGGATTCAGAGAGTAGCCTCAAGTACACAAAGGACTCAAACTGGGCTCGCGAGGCTTGCGACTGCTGGCAAGGCTCCATAGCCGGCTTCGACAACAACGTCGCCGGAGTAGAAATCCTTGAGGCCCTTGAAGAAAGGCTCGCCATCCGTAGCAGCTGGCAAAGGAGGCAGGGGCTTGCCAAGAGCCTGCATTTCGGTGTAGAGATGTCAGCAGTTTCGATTCTGGACGAAAGTCTTAAACTTCATGTACGACTCGTATCACTGCAGTGCTGCTGTTGGCTCGCGCGGCATGAAGAGCATGATGAGATTATGATGACGATGATGACGACGACGATCAAAAAAATATCCACAGGTGTCATTCTGTTTTGGCAACACTTTTAGGTCCTGGCCTTGTAATATGCGGCCAGGCCAGCGCCCCCGGCGGCAACGGCGATGATTTCGGACATGCGCATTGCCTTGTCCGCCAAGGTGGCCTTCGGCTCCAGCTCTCCTGGACATGTCTACACTCTGCGCACAGCACAGCAGGCTGTACCCATATGGCCCACAGGTACTCGCCGAGATGCCGCTGGCAATGAGTTCGTCGGCTACCCGTTCCATCGATGTGGCATACCAATCTGCATTTGTGATCCTGGGTGCAGACGATAGCCGACACGCTGCGATGTCCTGTGCCCCACTATCGGCAAGCGACGGCTGCAAGTGAACGATGGCGTGCACCACGCAAGCAAGCATCTCGCTGCACTCACCTCCAGAGTACAGCATTTGTCAAGTTGGCACATCGCCCTCCACAAAGTACATGCAGGTCGGGTGCGTGGCCTGTAAAGGTCTGCTCCGACTGCTCTGCGGCCAACATCCGATCCAGCAGGCCGGAATCTTTCGGCGACGCCTGCAGGCTGAGATCGACATGCATCGAGGCCCACGCAAGCGATCGCAAGCGATGGCAGGCGCTCGGCCTTGCGGAAAGGGAGCCATGCGTCTCGTTTGCCGAGAGCAGCGTAGGCTTCCTTGGCCACCGAGGCCCTGACGCGGCCGCTCAGCGCATCCTCGGGTCGCCGAGGTTTGGGGGGGCGTCTGGGATGCTTGAACACTGACAGCCGGGCGTCCCCTGGGCCAACGAGGCGCCGAGCGTAAAGCTTCGAAGCCTCCTCCATCTCCGCGGCCCTCCTGGTAACCGCGAGAAATGTGTGGCATCTTGAGACAGAGCGAGAAATCAATGCCGGTCCTGATGGCGCCATCGCCAGAATACTCCCCCTTTGACCCCATGCTTGAGAACAGGGCTGCAACATGGGTCGGGGAAATCTCAAAACACTGCGTTTTCCATCACTCGTTGGCAACGCTCCAAAAGTGCCTCTCTGAGCCTCAGCCGCTGGCCGGCTCCTGCCAGCTCGCTGGCAGAACTCCCCAGAAGAAGAGCTGGGCCTCGGATGATCCGGGCGCAAACACATATGAGATGATCTCGCTTGCCGCTGGGCTGAGGGGATAGACTAGAAATACTAGAATCCACGACAATGCAAAATCAGATGCTACGAGGTTCAAGGGGCTGCTTGCACCGGCAAATTGAGCAGCTTGCCATGGCTGCAGCCACACCCATGCCCAACAGTGCCGGTGCTGGAGCTGGTGGCTCAAGTTCGTGACCTGGGCGACAAGAATGATGATTTGCTGACATCTGGTCATCCTTAGCTTGCGAGCAAGAAGCCGTCGCTCAGGGCAGTCTGCATGCCCAGCATGAGGAAAACGGAGGCCTCAAAACGATAGCCCTGTGTTGCGGGATCTCAGCTTGCGCCTCAGGAAGCTGCAGTCAACACGAGTAGCCGCCGCAGGGAGTCCCAAACACCAGCTGGCTCCTGGGTCAGATCGTACCTGAAACACCGGCACGACGACTTCAGGTCAATCCAACAATGTAGATATGATCACCACTTATGTAACCAATGTATTGATGTACGAAAGCGAATACTGTATGATTTCATGACAGAAGGATACAAGACTCCTTTCTGTGCATGAGGGCCCGTCATGTAGCCCACCCAGCCTGGAAAAGAGGGTCGGTCGGTCGGTTTGCCAGCTACGCCTCCATCCAGCTATCCCTTCTCGGCTTATCTGCATCATTTATCTAGCTGGCTCTTCTTGCTCTGTTGTGTTCGGATTCGCCTCTTCTTCCGAATGGGTTGGTACTTCCCAGCGCAGACGACATCTTGCCAAGCAGTGGCAAGGAAACCGTTCAAATCCCCACCGCGGAACAAGCTGTGGTCGCCTCCACAGAGACCGAGGTTTATAGCCAAGGGCCAAAACAGAAATCTCTCTCTTTTTCTTTCTTTCACCAGAAACACTGTCTTAGGGAAGTTCTCTCTCTATATCTCACTCTCTGTGCATTGAATTCCCGGCGCACTCAGGCTGAGACTGATCTGCGAGTCCCAGGCGACCTGCCAAGAAAACACAGCGCGACCATCCGAACGGTAAATGGCAGGGATCGGACGCCTTCGGAAGGTCTCATCTCAAAGCTCTGAAGCAGCCGCCGGGCTGCCTGTCTCTTCGCTTCAACTCTCTTGATGGCCATGTGCGACAGCCACATGATGAGTCTGAGCACATGGCCTCCGAGTGCCCCACCGCCATGAACGCATCTGTCGCATCCTGTGAGTGTGGAAAAGCTGCTGCGCCGCAGCCACTGCAAGACCACACTTCCGCATGTCCTGGCCAGCAAGGCGCCGCAACGGCGCCGCCCCGCCCGGGTGGTCCTGCGCCAAAGCAGCGAAGCAAAGCCACATTTTCTGTGAGAGGTGAAGCTCTCCATCTAGCAGGGCCCTGTGCGGTTTTCTCTGGGGCCTCCCATCTGTGAGGCGGGCTCAGTACGAGCTTGGCCCCGCGACTCTGCGGCTTGAAATCTCACATCACCCACGGCTTGTTGCTCAGGGCAGGAACATCATCAGAGCGTAAACAACCCAGAGCAGGTCGTAAGCGCTTCGCGCAGCTTTAAAGCCGGCAGATCGACGGTGATTGCGGTGTTGACTGAGGACTTAGGCTGCTTGCTGCCTCTCTGCGCAGGTTCCCACTCGAACTCCAGGAAACAAGACTCTCCAGCCAGTCCGCGATCAATAGCAACTCGTGGCTGTGAACAGCATTGGGTCTGGCACAGAGTTTCGTTCGGCAGAGAGCCTCCAGAAAATCGTCTTCAAACTCTATGCTCAAGGGGGCTCCGAAACAGCAACAAACGATGACTCTTCCATGTAACAAAGGAACCTGGCACAAAGCACTCGTGAGCCCCTTGAGACCAGATTATTGCTTCGGGGCCTTGTCCGAATCCCAAACTCCACCTGCTTCTCACAGTTCTCCTTTAGAACCCAAAGGCCCCAAGCCCAGGCACGAGCCTGCTGCATCCAATTCCTGTTGGAACCGTCCAGGCTCGACATCCAAAGTGCCGGAGGAGGATGGCAAAACACCGAAACACACACGTTAAAAGAAACGCCACTATAGACATCCCGCAGGCAATAGTCAATCTTAGCGCAGCTAGGGTGCAACACACTTCCGGTGCCCCCATCCAACCAGCGGTTGTAAAGCCAGGCAGAGATAAGCGACGTTTTCTGCATGCTGTTCCATGCAGTGTCACTTGGTTGGCGAAACAGGGGCCGCTAGCTACACAGTATTGAAGGAGCAAGCACCTGGTGCAAACGTTTGCAGGCGCACCGAAACCTACAGTGCCTACCGATGTCCACAGCCAGACTCAAGTTTCCACAACAAGGTCTGTTCAAGTTGCGAGACCAACGCCACCTTGTGTGTCGCGACTACACTTCAAGCTGAATTCTTGGACTCCGCGTCCTTCTGTTGGTCCTGGCAAGCGAGGCATAAGTAAGGCTGGTCAACACCGTGCAGACCTACAGTGACCTAGATTGAATCTCGATCGACAGGGTGACAGGGCTACACGCAGAAGCAGAATGGATCCTGTCAGAAAACCAACGATCGAAAGCAAACACATCCCGGGCCGTTTGGTCTAAAAGTCTCACGCCGCACGGAACATCCCAACGGAGCCGAGCTTATGCTGAGTTGCGGAAAAAGCTTGATGACAAAAACTAACTTGGCAATTGCCAGCTTTGCATCGTCTGGCCTGCCTGGCCTAAGCCTTCTGCAATTCCCGCCGTTCCATTTTGTGTTGCTCCTTCTGAACAGGTTCTTGGCAATTGCTGTGAACCAATTGCTTTGCTCGACGATTGCTGGGGCTTTTCGGACCTAGTAGGACTCCAGGCCTGAGCATGCCTGAGCTGTACGTTCCCTCCACTAGAACAATCAAAGGCTGTGCGTAGGTTTTTCCAATGGGGACTGGGAAGAAGATGAGACGGACGATGGAGATGGAGAGATTTCGCCTTCACGCTCCCTCTCGCCCTCCCCTGTCACTCATTCCAGCTGAGGCTGCGTCTCAGGCTCCCAAAATGCGTTCATTGCGGTGATCTTCGCGTGGAGAGTCCTGTGAGACAGCATAAGAACACGGGCCTCTTGCTTGCACGTGACGGTGTCCTGCTGACTGTTGATCTGGTAGTACTCCGTCTTTGGGTTCAACTTGCCCATGCCCGGCTCCCATTCGGAAACCTGCCGCACCCAGATGAGCACAAAGCAACCGCCCAAAAGCTTGGAAAGGCCCGTGGCACCTGTGGTGACTCGGCGTCCTGTTCATCTGGCGAGTCCCACTCAGCACCGTCTTGAACCCCCACTCGCTGAAACCTTGCATGGTGATTAAAGTCCAGTGATGCGTTGAAGACACCATCGCAAGATCAACTCCATTCAGCCAAGAATAGCCAAGATGCTCCACCTTGTGAACCTTGATGGGTGTCAAAGATGACTGGGAAGGTGTCCTGCGACAGGCAGACAGCATCTCTTGGTTTCTTATGGAGGTCGTAGCAGGCCTCTGCAGGATGCTCTCCCGGCTGGGGACCACCGGCGGAATCTGCATTATCCCACAACACACACGCACACACACACACACACACACAGAGATTGAGTTTGTAAACGAGGCAAGGGTTTGGAGTTGTCTGTCCTTCACCCATCACGCTCCATCAACCCCAACCCTACCCCAATCGATTATTCAGATTTCCGTGCAGTGAAGAAACGAACTTGATGTTCGGTGAGAAGCGCTCTGAACTGGAGACAGATGACTATATAGAGTTGACAGGGGCGAGCATATCGAGGCGGGACTTGAAACGTTGATGCATGTACAGACAACTAATGTAGTGGCAGGTGATGCAGGCGTCGGCAGATTCTTGCTCCTACCGTTGTTCGACTCGCGATGTATGACTTGACAGGGCATATGTTACTACGCTTTCCTCCCTCTCCAGTCCCTTCGAGCGCCCAGCCGTCGGAGTGTTCCGGCGCGCGCGGCGCGTGCCGGCCATGGAGGGACCGCGGCGCCGGGCCGCCCAGCGCCGCGTCGCGACGACAGCGAGCACGGCCTCGAGGAAGGCTGGCATTGCACAAGGCGTAGACTGGTCTCGAAATTCTACTTTGGTTTCTACTTTGTCACTGATCAGCGCGATTTGCAGCACAAGCGGCCCCGAAACCCAGCGTGCCCACCAGCCACGGCCGGAAGCGGCGGGGAGGGGGCGGCTTGTGGTGGATTAGCTCCTCTGCCTTGTGCTCGGCCAGGATCCTCCGATTGCATGGTCTTGGGGTTGCACAGGTCCATGGGGCACTCATTCGCACCGGTACACACTAACCAGAAGGACCATGGAAATTCTCAATTGCAATACTACACCACACCAGCTCGAACTGGACTTTCCAGGTTCGTGCAAATTGACTCTGGAAGTGTGTTTGTCGGCCATGCATGGGCAGAGGTCAACACAGCACGATTGAATTATCTACAGAGGGATAACCGCCATTACAATACATGGCCAACACGTTGTCATACTAAGTCTGTGCAGCTGAGGCTGTGGCACGGTCTCATCCAGCTCCTTCACCGTCTCTTTGACCACGTTGCCGGCCTCCTTCACGGCGCCCTTGGCCTTCCTCCCACAACAAGACCACATCTACACCCAGAGCAAATGCTCAGTACTGGGTGGCCGGTGACACCGGCGGTCCTCTCTGCTGCCTGCAGAGTCTGCCGCGCAGTCTCTGCCACGTTGTCACCGAGACGTTGTGCCTGCAGCGAGAGGGAGGCAAAGAGGAGAAGAAGAAGAACCGGGAAGAGGAAGCAGAAAGACTGTGAGAAAGTGTCAAGATGACAGAGAGAAGGGGAGGGAGGGAGTGAGAGAGAGAGAGAGCTTCGTAAAGGGGTGCAATGCGTCAACGTGCCCGACCGTGCGCGACCGTTTTATCACGAGCGCGTGTTGCGCATGTTTCGATCCTGTAGGCAAACTTCAGAACTCTCCAGCTGGTCTCTGAGCGGCTCACAGCCGTTTGCCGGGAGTGAAACAAAGCATCCAGTTGTTCCTGTGATCTGCAGAATAGCAACTTTTGTCTTCCTCTATGCCTTTGCATTCACATCGTCCCGGTCGGTGGGCACGATCTGAACAATGCTGAGCGACCCGAATGCAAGAGCCAACTGCTACTGCATCCGTTCACTTTTCACCCAAGCGTCGGCATTGGCTCGGTGCTACATTGTCAAAGAATGCATGCTGCATTTATCAACGTGCCGCAAGGCGTGTGTTGAGCTTTGTCTAGTTTCGCCGACTCCAGAATGCACAGGCCCTTCTGGCGCAGGATCACTGAAGCTTGCACCAATGGCAGGAGTCTCCCGGCACGTTCTGCCTAAAATCTCGACAAGACAAGCGAGGTGGAGGGCGAGAGGC